ATTGTATTGGTTATACAAATGTTAAGGGTTGTATAATAACCAACCTCTATATATATATATATATATATATATATATATATATATATATATATATAAATTGAAAATCAATTACCAAAAAAAGAAAACTTGGATCGTTTTTTTTCTTGGAGTTATAAATGGATAATATCTTTTCTAGTTTGCAAGGGAATATTTCGTAGGGGGCTAAATGGATTGTTGATTAAAAAAATATTTTTTAAATTGTATATATAAATTAAGGAGAAAACGATATGATTTTTACGACTTTTAATTGCTTTGTAAACACACTTTTACATGTTTGTGAGTGACATATATGGAAAATGATGCAACATCTAACCATATCATATCATATGATGTATTTTCTTTTTATTTTATTTTATCCATTAAAAATATAAATAATTGATTCAGAATGATTATTCATTTTTTCTAACAAATTAAACCAAATTTCAACTATGTTCTGATTTTACAACTCAAATGATTACTAATTTTTATTTATTAACTAAATATAAAATGATAATTATGTGATTTATTATGTTAATGACAACTCATAAATATTTTCTTTTATGGTATCTGATCTCCCTCATTTCTATATTTTATTATTTCAAAACCCTAAAAAAAATATCTCTTCCAGGAGACGAGACCAGGAACTCTCCATTGTTCTTGATTTCTACTTCTTTCAACCATTTATTTGGTGTTTGATCAGGAGTCCACTTATATAGCAAAAGATGGGTGCTACTTTTATTTAACCTTTCCAAGAAGAATTCCCTTTACTACTAACGGTAGGTTGGTGATGACGATGGTGGTTATTACTGCTCACGAGAAGCACACATAATACTTTCGCATGCATATCCATAACTTCATAGCGGCCTTATGATCTCCTGAAAACAGGGTTATCTCACAAGTTAAAGCGCAGCCCTATATACAGTTTGATTCAGTATTAGAAGTCACAAACTAAACTAAACCATATCATTTGAAATATTTGCAGACTGAGAACGAATCATGTGAACATGTCCAACAGCTATGTCAAAAAAGATAGCTTGGAGATTCTAGGGTTTTTTGTCTGGCAACTATGCTAAAGTCTATTTTAAAATAGAGAAAAGAAGATAGAGAATGTAGAAATCTTCAACGTGAAAGTCTCTAAAACTTAATATTGAGGAGAACGATATATTATTTAAATTATGGGTGTTCGCAGTGCGGTTTGAAGCCAAACTACACCGCATATGCCGTTTGAACATTTTCTCAAACCGCACCACATAAACTTAAGACCGCATCAAACCACACCGAATAATGCGGTGTGGTACGGTTTATGTGGTTTGTATCTTCATGCCTCTTGTGCCCTCGGCAATACACGTGCTATAATGGCCGAGACAAAAGAGTCGCGGTCCCACAAGGGTGAGCTAACTATAAAAACCCGTCCTCAGTTTGGATTGCAGGCTGCAACTGCCTGCATGACGCCAGAATCATTCACCTTATGTCTACAATCCAATAATTATAGAATTGATGATAAAGTGACTATGATCCAAAATAATAAAGAGTTTCAGTACATCTAATTCCTAAATACATACAGGATAATTAAAAATAATCTAAGAAAAATAAATAAACTTCAAACTAAATTGGACGTATGAGTTGTGATGTGTCCAACTAATTTATCAATACTGTCAATTGTCATCTTGGATTAAACTCAAAGTTCAAAATACAAAATAAAAAAATATCACATAAATAATAAATTATTCTACACACACATAATATATATATATATATATATGTGTGTGTGTGTGTGTGTGTAGGTATGTATTTGTTATATAAAATTAAAAAACTATACAAGATATATAGTATGGTGCGGTGTGAACCGCGGTTTGATAAATTTAAACCGCATCATATGGTGAGGTTTGATTAAAATGCAAATTGTAAATCGCACCGCAAAAGTTTTAAACCGCGCTTTGCGATGCGGTGCGGCGTGGGTGGGTTGTGCGTTTCGGCGGTTTAAATGAACGCTTCTAATATTTAAATTGTTTCCACTGATGAAACAGAATGTGTAATAAATTTTTATGATTTTTTTAACGATGTATTGGAATGATGAATTTAAATATTTTAACAATAGTTGTGGAAAAACAACTTTTTGTTCAAAAATTAAAAATATTTTAAAAACATAATTAATGATGAAATTGATAAAATAAAATAAAGGTTGAATTAAATGTATTATTAATGATAAAATTGATAAAGTATAATAATGGTTGAAATTAAATGTATTTATTTTAATTTTCCTATATTTCATAAACTGAAGGTTCAGACCCACACCTCAATCATTTACATATATCATGCCGTTTTGGTTTCTATTAATATGATCCCTTAAATTGCTCCATAATAAGCTTTTAATCCAATAATTTTTAGGTTTTATTTATTTTATATAAATGTTTAAATCTTATCTAACACTTAATTTTTTCCCTATCCATTATTTTCGTAATTTTGTATTTTAATTTATAATAATAAAGTTTTTAACAATCATATAGTGGGAAATAAAATAAAAATACTGTTATAATGTCTCTTTCCTTTGATGTGTCAGAAAATGAAACGGCACCCACAAGATGAAAAATACAAAGAATTTTATTTATAGATATATTGATTAAAATAAATATTATCATAAATATATTTTCATTCGTTTCTAGTTAAATTACATAGCAAAATCATTATAAAATGTTAAAATTTGGACAAAGTTGATTACCAACAATCTTAACTAGACTCATATGAAACTCGCTTCTACGAACATCAATATGAAGGAACATTTTTTTGCTCACTCAACGGCTAAGGTTAAAAGGGGTCCTGGGATCAAACCTGTAACCTACCTTGTATTGGGCAATGTCACATTGTCTCTTTGTCAATTGAGTTAAACGAAATTACATAGCAAAATCATCACCAAAAAAAAAGTTTAAAATGTTAACATTATTCATTTCAAATTATATATGTTGGTAACATATACTGATCACCAACTTTTATCTATTCCCTCATTCCTCAAATCATTTGATAAATATTTTTATTTGAATATATAAGTTTTTATTTTATTTTACTAGAGTGAAACTTAGGGGCCGTTTACTAAACGTTTATCCAGTAAGTGCTTTCCGGGTAATTTTCTTTTCCAAATGAACATGGTATGGGTTTAGAATCTTACCCGGTTAGAACGGTAAAATGATGGAGAGTCTTATTTGTAAGAGTGGTGAAAGGATGGAGAGTCTTTCTCAATAAGATAGAGTGAAGACTCTTACCCGGGTAAGCACTTACCGGGTAAATTGTTGCATATTATATTATTTTGATGCATTACAATCTTACCCAGGATAATAAATTATAGTATTGATTCATATGAATAAGTACTTACCGGGTAAGCATTTAAGTAAACGACCCCTTAGTAATATACACTTCAAAAATTGCATAGAGAATGCAATTTAAGGGAGAAATTAAACAGTAATTAGTATTGGGAAAGAAAAAAAGTGTAATATTGTTTTAACAAAAGAAAACATATACAAGAACTTTTCATATGCACAAAGACCCCTTAAAGTTCTTGGTATTTGACATATGTTCCCACTTTTACCAAGTAGCTAAACTTTTGGGCTTGGTTTTCATAATTTACCTAATTGATGGTGAGAAAGCTCGGTCTCTTCTACCATCAAATACATGGTGCTTAGTAACACTAAAAGACCTAAAATTCACTAAACATATACTTAACAGCAAGACAATGGTCGTTTCTCGTTTCCATCTCTTCGACGAGTCTTCTCATTTCAATATCATGAAAAATTGGGCCAACGCGTTGATCTAGTTCATAGGATGTGACCGGTACTGTTCTACAGACTCATGGGACCTACAAAGATTATGCATGGTCCAATGAGGTCATAGAACAGCATAATCTTACTCCTTTGAACCAGAATAGCATTATTTTTGTTGGTTGCTACTGACCTCTAGTGTGTCTAAGATGCTCATTTCAACTTGGTTGAAACAATCTAACCCAAAATCATTAACTCCAAAATCTTGACAATCCAATAGCCACGTAGCACAATCATCCCATGAGGTGAAGCTGCCGGTACAATTATTGAAATTGTGTGCATTATTTGGTAAATCCCAAGATGTCGTATCAACAAGTGGGGGCTCATCGTCACCTAGGAGGTAGCTTAACAACTTTTCATCTTCACAAAGGCTTTCAAACAATTTTTCGGGTTCATCACTCAAAGTTGAACAATTTTCAGGTGGCGAGGAGCTCGAGTTCTCCTCCGAGCTTCCTGTGGTATTGACACTTTCCAGGGGCAATGAATGGTTGTTGTTTTCGGATTCTGCAGAGCGTTCTCCAGGAGAAGATGATGTCTCTGTGTCCTGAGGTTCCTTCTGAAGCGGCTCATGAGTAACGGGATCAATTCCTCTTTTTATTAGTTTTTTCTTGATATGAGTATTCCAATGATTCTTTATCTCATTATCAGTTCGTCCCGGCAATCTTGCTGCAATCTTGGACCACCTAAAAACACATAACAATAAATCACTTTATCATTAATCTCCTATGATACAAAAAAAAAAAATTCAATATTATCAGTTCCATTTTTCATGTTTCATATTCCAAACGTGAAATTTATCCCCTGGACCCACATAATAAACTATAATTCTACCTTATTATATATCATAAAAAAGACACATATAATGTATAACTTTTGATAAAAAGACATTAAAAATATGTGAATAATTGCTCATTTGTTTACGATTTTACATTGATTGGAAATTAGACCAATAGAAATTAGGCACTAAAAAATCTCTTAGGTAGCTTTACTATGAAACATGTCGGCCATAAATAATATTATTTGGTTACAATTATATTTGTTTTGATTATTAATACAATTTTTTCCCTTTGATTATATCATCTTGAAATTTTTGAATGGAAATCACAAGTTTAAATAGATTAAAAAAATACTTAATTTCATAATATATTCTTCACTCTTATTCAAAACTTGTAATAATTAAGCGTGCTCTTCTTACCGCTAGAAAGCTTATGGTTTTGGGTAAAATTAGATTGATAATATATATATATATATATAAAGAGAGAGATGTAGGTTATTATACAAACATTTACATTTGTACAACCAATACAACTCAATCTCAGCCGTCCATTTAATTTGATAAATATGTGATTTCATAGAAGTTTTAATTGTTTCATAATATAAAGTATTGATCATAAGTAATTAATTTTATTTATCTTTCATAAATAATCAAATCATAATAAATAAACTCTCATCATTTTTATAAATATCTCAATTAATTGGATTGCATTGGTTGTACAAATACATATGGTTGCATTTAAAATATACCTTTTATATATATATATATATATATATATATATATATATACTTTGATTTTGATTCTACATATGTTAATGAATAAAACGATAATGATTTTACCAATTAACTGTGGATAGATTTTAAAAAAGATGAAATTTTTATTTTTATTTTTTGGTAGCGATCGCAAGTGATTGCAAGACCTACCGATTGCCGAGACGAGCATGGAGATCAATAACGAGTTGTTCTTCAGACTCAGTGAGTAGGCCACGCTTCAAGTCGGGTCGGAGGTAGTTGGTCCATCGGAGACGACAGCTCTTACCACACCGGCGGAGGCCGGCAAGCTTTGGGACAGCTCGCCAACAACATTGGCCGCTGGTTAGGATAAAATTGATGAGTTTATTGTCTTCCTCCGCCGTCCACGGCCCTTTCTTCACCCCTAGTTTATCACAGCATGGTTGTCTTCCCATCTTTAATCACCGCCACCAACCACCAACCACCACCGCCAAAAGAAACTTTAATTTATGTATGTATATATCCCAATGCTTATAATGTATAAACCGTTTAAACACAACTTACCCAGGTTTAGATATGGCACCACCAACCTTTATATAGCCCCAGAAAGATATATAGAGAGAGGAGAGAGGGGAGAGAGAGAGAGAGAGAGAGTATGTGGGGTCCACCATTGATCCATGAAAGGCACAGTTGAACTGCAACTTGGTTCGGGTGGTGAGTGATGAGGTGAAAAGGAATGATGGACGACACAGACACACAGAGGGTCACATATATGAGGCATACACCAAATTAAATGGTCACAATTTTCACTTAAGCCCATCTACTTCAATAAAAATGTTAATTTTAACCCATTAATATTTTGAACGGAAAAAAGTTCACTTGTTAATTAAGCTTTTTCCTGTTTCCTTTTTTTATTCCTCCAATCAAATTTCGTAGAGGGATTGTTATTAAATATAGGAGAGGTGTGTATAAAATTAAATGGTAGTGTACGATAGAAGAAGATGTTGTGTCAACGTTTTATTGGTTGAACATGTTAGATGTATCATAAAACCGTCTAGGCTATATTTGGAAAATCAATGGATAAACTATTTGTTAATTTAAAAATTGACTCATAAACTAATTATGTTTGGTAAAAAAAAATAGTTGATGATAACTAGATGACAGTTTTAAAATAACATGTTAAAAAATTAATTAGTTCTAACACAACATAATATAATTAAAACAAATTAATAACACATTTCATCATATCAAATATAATATTAACAATAATAAAAAGTTTCAGTTATTCAGGTTTTAGATTCCTTGTATTTCATATCATATTGTGAATTTCTCATATCATATAACACGACCTCACATGTTTAAAAATATAATAAATTTTCTAAAATTATCAATTAACGTAATGAAATATGTAAAATCTTATAGTACAACTCTCACTCCTCATATGTTAGAAAATATACCCAACTTTTTACAATTATCAATTAGTTTAAACTAAATATGAGTTTTACAAAAATTTGCCATGCTAATTAATAATTATGAATAATTGTTATATGTAACATAAATAAAAACAAAGTTTGTTAACCGTAAACTTTTTAACTAATTAATAATTTATAAAAAATATTTAATTATTTATCAAAATTATTTTATTTTATAATG